ATACAGCACCACGCCATTGAAATTTTAGAAAACAATGAAATTCTCATTTATGCTTTACTTCACTATCACATACATACGTTTATGCATTTTTTATTTTTGAAAACAAAAATAAAATAAAACTTGTATTGTAAAAATTCTAAAAACCAGACAGTTTTCCCATAAAATATATATTTTTTTCTCGAACAATTACACACAATGTTTTTCAATTTACTTTTACAACACCTTTTACATCAAGGGTCATCCCCAATTAAAAATTACCTGTTGTTTATTATTTAACATCACGTTAAATAATTACACATATGTACATAACATAATAACTAAGCATTTTCATTCCAAGGTCATGAAAACCTAAACCACCCGATTGAATTGAATTTCGCGAAAAATTCATGCTCATTTAACGGAAGTCAATAATTATATAGTAAAGAAAAAGATCAACAAGGGTTCTTGAAGAAATTAATTCATTTGAAAAACAAATTTGATTATTGTATTTTGTGAGCTTTTGTACAAATATATACATATATAAATTTTCGTTGCTCAAAATGAATAGTGTCTTGAACTAAATTTAAAGTTGCCGCCTGTTTCTTTTTTTCGCTTGCAGAATATAATTGAAAGGGAATTGGCCGAAATTGACAGTGAGCTACAAAAAATGTTTAATGCTATTATAAATTATACTTGTCCTTGGAAACTGAGAATAAACTAAATTGAGAAATACCTCGGAAACTGAGAATAATAAATGCAAACTTATCCGGTTCCTTAATATTGCGAATTGTAAAAAAACAAATTGGACAAATTGGAAACAATTTAGAATTAAATCTGAAAATGGTAATTATATTAACACAAACAAATCAGTCAAATATTTAGGCATTCATTTTGAGCATAACCTAAATTTTAGACATAAAAAAACAAATTGAAAAAGCAAAAAAAGGCATTTGGAATTGCCTGGTATCTCTTGTACGCAAAATATTTAAATGCACATGCAAAGTTGATCGCTTATTAGGCGTTAATTAGGCGAATTCTGATATATCTATGGGCGTTAGACTTGTTTTAATGTAAGCGCATCACTGATGGAAAAACTAAGAAAATTTGAGAGAAAATGTATTATAGAATGTCCCAAAACGTATAGGAGATCAAGATAAAACTATTAACTATGCACAAGACAACATTAACAAATCACGAAAAATTAACTAAAATATGTCATAGAAGGACATTTTTAAAATTACTTTATGTAGTTTACTTTCTGAAATTTTTAATAGTTTTAGGATCAATTTATTTAGGATTAGTTTTTGTTTTAGGTAGTTTCTCGAGAATTTTTACATCCATTCGAAATGTAAATGAAAAAATTTAATTTTCTAATTTTACGTATTTATAAATTAATTCAACTGCATTGCTAAAAATAAAATAAATGAAAACTTATTAAAAAAAATTAAAATGTGCATATCGCAGGGTGAGCCTGTAACGTGGTATAATTTCTCAGGGGCCAAAAGGTGAGACAATTTTGTAAAAATTGTTCCTGGGGGACCTGCGAACGAATTTTAACCCCCAAAATCCCATTTGAATTTTCAGGGTTTCGACAAAAAGGTGGCGTTTTAAATGGCTATAGCTTCCATAATTATTACCCGATTTAAAAAATTAATATGCAATGGGAAGCTGAAAAGTAGCTTCTAATTTGACTTTAAAATCACAATATAGGCAACGATTTTTTTTAATTTTTAAGAAGATTTTTAAACTTCATTCAACAGATAAAACTCTTTAAAAGTCGGCTTTTAATTCATTTTATATTTTAGACACATTGGAAAGGTATTTAAACAAGCCTCAGTCGCCAAACGTTTTTTTTTCAATTGTATAATTTTTTTATTAGATGGCAACTATAGTGGATAGAAAATATATAGAAAATTATATTTGGACTTTAGAACGCTTTGATACAAGCGCTTGTGTATTCATAAATCACATGCATCTATCAATTGTGTATACATGTACATATGAATGAATTAAATACTATTCTATTGTTCTAAAGGAAATAATTAAACATATTATTCACTCTCAGCATCACATATAATAATATAAAACTATCTATTATTTTTGTTAGTCAATTTAAAATGTGTTATATTGTTTTCCACGTTTATTAGCTAATTTTGTGTATTTTGCTATGGGTTACAAATTTTAAAAATTTTGTTGTAAACACTGCTAACATTAAGACATTCATATATCAGATTTTACATTTATTTAGCTTAGATGACATAATTTGAGAAAACGACTTAATATAACATAATGTGTGATGAATAATTGTATGGATATTAATTTAGAAAATATTAAGCTGTACAATTTCGTGAAAATGTCCTCTAGTTACTATACTTACAAGGATTTATACTTTGTTCTCATCGCAGTTTCATTTTTTGGAATCGCTTTCTTCGTAAAAACTTGTTAGTTAATTTAGTCGATGAACAGAATATAAATATGAAATTAAAAAATTTTAATTTTAGCAAAACTCAGCTTTAACAAACAGAGTTGAAATATCTAATATTACAAAAGTCGCTTAAAAAATTAATTATTTGTCTTTATTAAAACTTTATAACCTTTATTATTCTCAAGAATAATCAAAAACCTGTAACTGCCTAGTTGTACAGGCTCAATCTCTGAGACATGACGTTCACTCAATTAAAAATCGACCCAGCTGAATTTGAGATGAACACAAATAGACCAACCTATAATTTAAACTTGCCATTCTGATTTAAACTTGGCATTTCAAGTAAATCAACCTTTATTATCTTGACTTATCAATTTATGTAGCAAATTTATTTAAAATTCATCTTCTGGATTCATTTTATTTTGTAAGTCCAATTTAATAAGTTCGTCAAGCTTATTTTCTGATTTATCATCTCTCGATTTTTCCAACTTATTAAGTGATTTATTTTTTCATGAGTTAATTTTTGTTTCGGTTTAACTAACATGTAAGTTTTTGATAAAACTAATGTAAAGAAAAACACACCAAGCTGGCTACAAGTTTTCTTACAAAAAAGAGAAAACCTTATATAATGACTCATAACCATTTGAAAAAAATTTTTTATATAAATGTATGTTACTGTTCAAATAATTCTTGTAGATAAAATGCATACCGTTGGACAGTGGGCATGAAAGGGTTAATACAGTTTTCGTGTTCTTAAGTTTAGTGAAATTTTGTCTTCATAATGTATTATGTACCTTCTTTGTGTATTTGTTTATATTGTTATACCCGAAAATTCAACTGTCTACGTCTTATAATGTCTGATATGCTAAAAAGCTCTTAGATGTTCTCTGTTTGAGTGACATGAATGTATGTTATTATTAAAAAATGTTATAATAATAACATAATAATATTATGTTATTATTATTTCTGAGATAATGACAATTAACTTTTGGAATTGTATGTCAAACACATTGGCCTACCAACATATTTGCTTGTGTGAAATTTCGATGCACAACTTTTAAAGTTTCTGAGATATAGTGTATAAATTTGGAAGTAAGATGGGAGGTACTCGAACCAGCACCACGATCATAACTAATTTTAATAGGGTTCTGGCATTTACCATAATAAATCATTTGTGGAAATTTAGTGAACTAACCTCAATGAGTTTTTTTCCTATCGTTGGGATGGACGAATGGACAGAAGGACATACAATGCTAAATTGACTCAGAATTCGAGGCTGATCAAAAACATATACTTAAGTCTATATCTCAGACCATTATTTCTTAGCGTTACAAACGGTAAGGCAAATTTAGTACACCTTCGAACATACGTTCGTACGGGTATAATAAGTATACTCGTACAAAATTTGTCACATTTTTAGGTAATGTTATTTAGGAATGACTAATGTAATTCGAATACTCCCATATTACTTATGTTGTATAGCTTCATAAAATGGTCAGGATGTGAAAGATTCGTGTTAGAATATTTTCACCGTTGATTAAGTGGGATGCTTATAACAGATCATATGTGTGATGTTACATATGATTGAATTCTCAGATTATTTTTAATTTCACTAATTAGTAATGTATATTTGCGGCTGTCAAGTTTAATACAGCAATAGTCTTGTACTGAACGCTGTATTATTATGAAACAACCTGTGTTATTTACGTGTGTATGTATATTATGATTTTGTACATGATGATAAATGTTAGTAACTATTTAGACATGGTTTCTTCTTTCCTTTTCTCCACGTTAAATCTTGATTATATTTTTTTTTTCTTTCTATTGGCCGTTTTTTATTCTTTAAATAATTTAAAAAAAAATGAAATAAAATAAAACCAAGTTTACCGGTATTTTTGCTTCTTTAATTCGTATTTCGGTCATTGACTTGTACATAACACTAATTTTTTTTTGTTTCATTTCCTCCATATATAAGCTAGGGATATAATATACTGTACATTTGTTTATTCTTAGCTTATTATAACTTATGAATATATGCGATACAGCTATAAGAATTTAAAGAAATGCTCTTCCTCAAAACTACACAAAAGAAACAATATATTTGCTATAATTTTCTTTTTTATTCTTCTTTATTTTTTCTTGCCTATACCTTTGAATTTTAGAGTATTAAGAATCAAGAACCTAAAGAATCAGTTTTAATTAATGTTCTACATTGAAATGATTTTTTTAGAGCAGTTTTCTATAGCAATGGAAAGACTAATAAGAAAGCAAGAAAGCAGTAATGCTGAAGCCAGAAAAAGAAAAAACTGGCTACTGCTATTGTAATAAATTTAAACATATTATAGAATAAAATAAGCATTAAAGCCCAAAACTGAAATTAAATATCTATTTATGCAAAAAAATAAAAAATTAGCCTTTCTTATAAAAAAAATATAGAAAAACAAAAATATTTAAAAAATTTAAGGTTCAACTGGACAAAATACTGCTGCGAATCATTTTTTATTTTTTTAAAATTATCAAAAGAAATTTTGTATTTCTTGACCATTTTCTGCATTTTTAATGACGATTTTTATTTTGTTGTTTTATTTATTTGCAGATGGACAGAGTCTCATCTTTAGAAACGAAATCCTTTTGTAGTAGCGGTAAAGTAGAGAATATAAAAACTCAGAAAATTGATAGCACTAAAGATAGTAAAAGGAATCGCAATTATAGAAACTTTTTTCGAAGGAAATTTCAAAAAAATAATTTACGAAAACTACCATTTTTGTCATCATCGCCGACATCATTATCATTTTTATTATCAACACTTCCATCAATATTATCATCATTAACAATGAGAAAAAATGAAAGAAATTATGCCGTTTTAGTTTTAACTATTTTATTAGGTTTAATTCAAAATAGTTTAAGCAGTCCAGTTTTTGTGGATAATCCTAGTATAGCACAATGTAAGTATTTTACTAATAAAAATTATTTCAAAACTAAATGAAAATATTTGTAAAAAACTTAAAATGAATAACAATCTAAAGAAATTTTAGGGCAAAGCATAATTATTGTAAAGAAAATGTATATTCAACGTTGATTGCTTTTAATGTTAATCAACTTTTTTTTTTTTCTCAAATTTTAACAAAGTAATTCAACTCAAACAATTCGATCATCTGATTACCATAAAAGTTTGGGAAAGTCTGTAGATTTGAAAGTTACAGCAAATATTTTGTCTTTTTTTCCTTTTTAACTTTTATGAGGTTAATAGGACTTCGATTAAACCTTTCCATCTTTCTATATTTTAGGTGATCGATTTTATTTTTACACAAGTTTAAGTCTATCAATGTTCTGCTTATACTTACTTAAGATTCCATTCTTACACTTACTTGGTTTGGGATTGCTCTTGACTTGACCCCTCAATATATGACCAACGCATTTTTATGTTTTTCTTTTTATTAGTTTTTTTACCTGGTCTTGTTTGTATATGTTCCATAAATAAATATTTCTAAATCTTTCTTAGCCTTCTAAATGTCTCTAGCTTTATCAAGTTTGTTCTCAATGTCAGCACTAGCTTCACCAACTGTACTTATAATGTTCCTCAATATTTTTTATTTATTTATTTTACATCCTCATCAAATTGTTAATTTCTCCATGGCAAATTTCATCTGAAAATTGTTCTAGCTTATTTATATATCATATATATCTGCATATTTCACATTATTCAACGTTTTGAAGGTGTTCCATTTGATCTCATTTTTTACTTCATTTTTTTTCCTCACAATTTTGGTGGAAAAAACTTCTATACGTATGCATATATGGTTCACAATATTCACTTCTTACCTATCTCGTGATCACGCGTGCAGTTTATTAACCCTTACATCGTTTAAGATTGAAAGATACAATGTAGTTCAACAATAATTGTTTTTCTGATTATTACAGCTGTTAGTGGAGCCCTTTAGTTAGCTCAGAGATAGTGGAATCTCTACCTAACCTTTCAACTTCTAAATTTTGGTTACATATCCCTTTTCCAGCTAGTTTTTTAACCACTTTGCTTGTTCAGCAATTCATCGAAGTGAGGGGTTAATTGCTGCGTAAAACAAATGTCCAACCAGAGGTCGCTGTGTTGGCACGAAACCCTTTAACAGTGTCAACTTTACAAGAGGTTAGGTTCATTGAAATTTCTAAGTAATAAACTTTCACTTCGTGAGAAAATTTGTAGAACTTGCAGATTTTTAGCAAATGAAAAAATTGTGTGTAATAAGAATTTCATTCCAAATTTATTTTAAACCATCTGATGAAATTTATGAATTGACGCAGTTCGTAATACTTCGCATAAGCACATTTGTTTTTTATACCCGTTTGAACGTATGTTCGAAGGTTATACTAAATTTTCCTTACCGTTTGCAACGCTAAGAAATAGCTCACGTGTATATTTTTGATCAGCGTCAAATTCTGAGTCGATTTAGCTTTGTCTGTCCGTCCGTTCGTCGCAGCGATAACTCAAAAACTAATTGATTTAAATTCGCCAAATTTTCACAAATGGTTCATTATAGTATATGCCAGAACTCTACTTAAGTTGGATATGATTAGGGTACTGGTTCGGGTAGCTACCATACAACTTAAAAATTTATTTGTCTATATCTTAGAAACTATAAAAACTGTGGTATTGAAAGTTGACACAAGTAAATATATTAGTAGGGCCAATGTGTTTTATTAAGGTCGTTGAAATTTCTGGGCTCCTTCTGATAGCTGCCATACAACTTCAAAATACTGTGATATTGAAATTTCATACAAGCAAATATATTAGTTGGGCCAATGTGTTTAATTAAATTCGTTTCTCTCTGGTAGCTGCTATACAACTTGAATCGTAGTTTGGCCATATCTTAGCAAATATTGAAAACACAGTACCGCAATTTTGCATAAATTAATATGGGAAATCTTAAAGATATGGTCTTTCCCATAGTCAGCTATGACATATTTATGCGCACATATGGATAGCAAATTCGTACGGGTATCACACAGTTGACACGGCCAACTCTATTTTTTCTTGTTTTTTTTTAAATTCAATAAAAATCTAATTTTAGTATGAACACATTAATGAAAATCTACATTTATATATGATCAAAATGTGCCGTCTTTTATGACGGGACTCGTCAGTTTTTTACCTTTATGAAAATATGTGTCCTTTATTAAGAAAATTTGGAAAACATACTCAAATGCTTAATAAAAATAAAAATTACCTAAATTTAGCATTTTGTTTTGTTCAAATATTCTACGAAAACAAAAAATTAATTGATTACAGTATTCATTTATGTAAATATGTATATATATTCAGTCTTCATAAATAACTATACACAAATACCTTAAGTTCACTATACCAATATAATAATTGTTATTAGTACACTACTAATATAATAATTGCTAAGACATCAGGTTAAAATAAAATCAAGAAATAAAGAAAACCAAAAATTTTCAAAAGATCAGTGAAATTCTTAATGCCACTCCTTCCTTCATTCATACTACATTATACTGTGCAAACACATTTAGAAAAATTCACCATATTAACCTAATTTCACTCAAAAGAAAGTTTTATTATTCTTCTTAAATCTGTTTTGTAAATTTCAAAAAATCAAGATATGTAAAAATAATTTTCAAGAAATATGTGCTACAAAGATCTCAATCTAATAAATATTTTTATACAAAACTGTGCGTTCTTTTGTATAAAAATTCAAATGAAAAAATTTAAAATAAAATAAAATTTTAATTTACTGTCGAATTTGCTAAAAAGAAGTTCATAAAATACAAATTACGTTACATTTGGAATTCGACCTAAAATTACATAATTACGACTGAACCATAATATAATCAGAGCTTAAAAATTATTAGGAATGCTATTTCTTCTTTAAATCTTCCTATTTATTTGCCATTGCTTCTTTAAAACAGTTATATTTGTTTGTAATTATCTCATTACATAAATTATACCATGTCTGTATATAAATACATATATTCATGTAAAGCTTACCTTTTCTTTTTCATTTTGTGCTCATATTGCCGCGAATATATAAGTTTTATTTTTATGTGTAGTAAAGTTTGGTTTACAAAGAAATACTTGCTGTCCACTCACACATGGGAATATAATTACCTAAAGATATTCTAGTTGATTTATTTTTAGCACTTTTTCAAAAAATTTTTGAAAAAAAGTGCTTATTAGTTTCACTCTGTCCGTCCGTCCGTCTGTCCGTGTGTCTGTTTACAAAACTTCTACATCCTTGAAGATAGAAAGCTGAAATTTTGTATGTGCATAGATGTTTACTAGAAACTTATTTCCGTAGAACAAAATTTTTAGCTATCTCCCCCCCTCTAAAAGTTATACCCCCCCAAAACCCTAAAAATGGCCTTCTTTAACTATTTGTTGCAATGAAACCATAAGCATTTATGAAATTTTGTAAACGCAGAAAGGCAGCGGCTCGCTTTCCCTAGCGCGATATACTATAGTTAAACTTTAGAAAAACAAAATGGCCGTTTAAATTTACCGTTATCTAAGGTATTTTTTTTCCAAATTTTTGATTTGGTTTTTCTTCTAGACCTCAGCCTGTAGAAGCTTAAAATTTTAGGGACTTTTAGACATTAACAAATAGTTTATTTCGTTAGAAGAAAATTTTTTTCCATCTCCACCCTCTCCCAAGTTATCGCCTCTTGAAATTTGTAAAATTTGAATTTTTGACACCTTATATTTACGAAACCGCAAGCTTTTTCAAATTTCTGTAAACGCAAAAAGCTAACGGTAAATTCCATGACATTAAAAAATATAATTATTTTTCTAACTCGCACAATTAACCCTTAAAATCGAGCATTATGTTAACCCCACTTTATATTAATTTTTGCTTTAGTTCAAAGACTGCATAAATCGTCCATCCTAAATATATGCAATCCTAGAAATAGTTTTGTAAATGAATGAAAATAATTTTAATAGTGTGATGGGTATACATAGACTGTATTTAAAAGCAGAATTTTCACTTGTTGAAGGGAAAAGTGCTGCAATACAAACCATTGGTTTGACTCAACTTTTTATTTAAACTAATATTTATCATTATAGTTAATAGTTTGAGAAAGTATTGTTTTGATTTTGATCATTAGAATTCTTAAAAGTAAACTACTTAAATTAATGTTATGGCGATTTTCTAGTCAGCGTCTGTTTAGTCAGAGTGTGTGAATAAATTGTTGATGAAATTGCAAAACTTTTAGAATTTTTAAATTAGTTTAGATTAATTTAATTTTAATTTTAAATAAATTAAAAGTCTAAAACTAGCATTATAGAATAATACGCAGAACAATTGATGAAATTTCTGAATTGCTGAATTAACGTAATTCATTGATTCTCTTTGGTACTTTTCCAAAAAAAATTACTAAAACAAAGTGCATATAAGTTTCAGTAATTTATGAACATAGACAAAAATTTTAAAAAATTAGAATAAAATGTCCAATTAATCTTTCACTTAACCATTATCTGATACCGGTTTTTCCTAATTTTTGGAGCAATTTTTCTTCTTATTAGAAAAAAAATACTCTACAGTTATTCTTCAAAATTTGCAAAATGTTAATTTTCAGTGCCCTAAAAATTCTTACGCTATAAACTTTATAACACTTCTATAAAGAAAAACAGAAGGATAAAGGTAGGATAAGTAAACTTTTTGGAGTTTCAAAATGTTCATATTTTTCGAAATTTATTACTCTCAATTTGAAATTCATTACAAACTCAAGACATAGATAGTTAAACTTGCCACTTTACGACGTTTCTCTTAAATTCAATTCTAATTTCTGTGTTTGTCCGGGAATCAGATGTAATTGAATTTTTTAGATATTTTTAAGTTCTAATAATTCAGCTCTCAGATGACCTACCGAGCTGGGGAAGTGCCTGTTGGAAAGGTTTAAATGAGATCTTCAATCCTATTGACCCCAAACA